CGACATACGTGCATATGAGCCCGGCCGATGGCGGGCCGTGGTGGCGGCTGCGGTGGCTCGCGCGACACGAATGGTCGGGCCGGGCCGCGGACGCCGCGGTCATCGACACGGTGCACGCCCAGCTGCAGCGGCCACAGGACGGTGCGAACCGTCTTCGACTGGCGGACGTGCGCCCAGCGTGCGGCCCAAACGTGCGCGCCCTCTTCCTGCACTGCGCGAGCGCCCTCTCCCCGGCAGGCATCCTCGGCCTCGTCGCGGCGTGCCCCAACCTCCAGGTGCTCTCCCTCTCCGAGTGCAAAGTCGACGATGCACTCCTGCGCGGCCTCGCCGCCAGCGCGTGCGCGCCGCGCCTCGTCGCGCTGCGCCTGTGGATGTGCCAAGGCACTTGCAGCCCCGCCGCCCTCGGGGCCCTCCTCCAGGCGAGTGCGCCAAAGCTCGCGTGGCTCGACATCGAGGCCTTCTTTAGCAATCGCACGCGCGGAGAGACCATCGACCACGCCGCGTGGCTGCTGCCGCTGCGCTCGTGCGCGGAGCTGCGCGTGGCGCTGCTGCCAAGCCAGCTGCCCCGCGACGCCCTCGGCGCGCTCGCACGACCTGGTGGGAAGCTCGAGCTGCTCAGCGTCGACGGCGAAGGCCCAAAGACCCCTCTCAGTCACCTCGAGCCCTTTGGCCGCGCCTGAGCACTTGTGAGCACTGGATAGGGTCGATTCCGCGTGGTACGGGACCCCTCGATCGTCTCGCCCACCCTCACTGGTGTGTTCATTGGGGGGGGTCATAACAATCACAGTACAGGATCGAGGTGCACGCTGCCGAAGCAGTGTCGTCCCCTCCGCTCCATCGTCTCACTGGGGGACGTCGGCGGTGGTGGCGGAGTGACCGATCGAGGCTACAAGAGGAGCTTGTTCAGCAGGATCCGCGCTCGACATTCACGGCTTCATCCTCGACGCGCACGCGGGCGAGGCGACCTGCCGCCTCGCCAACCGTCTCGACGTCGGCGAGCCCACGGGCGCGACGCTGCCGCGCGCGCAGCTCCTGCAGTGCACGCGGCTCGCCGACTTGCGCGTGCGCTGCCCGATTCTGAGCGAGGAGGATGTACACGAGTGCCTTGCGAAGCTGCCGGCTCTCAAGGCGCTGCACGTGTGCAGCGGTGAGGACGTCGAGCCCTCGCTGGTCGGTGAGCTTGGCTGCCTCGAGCAGCTCCGCGTGCTCGATCTCGCCGGCTGTCTGGGCAACTACTACATGCACGGTGAGCAGGTGGCGACCGAGAATTGCGACGCGCTGGTCGAGATGGCCCGCGGCTTGAGCAATCTGGTGCAGATCGACCTCTCGGGTCACCACGAGGCCTTTTACGCGTGCGTCGAGGGGGAGTACGACGCGGAGGAGATGCTCACGCAGATGGCGTGCTGCCTGGACTCGCTGCGCGTGCTCAACCTCTCCGAGAACGGGCGCAAGTTTGGCTGGGCGAAGCTGCGGCGTGAGATGCGTTGCCTCAACGAGGACCTCGACGAAGGAGGGGCTGGCGTCACCATCCACTATGGCGACGGCGTGAGCGTGTATGCGGCGGGCGGCGGCGGAGGCGGAGGCGGCGCACAGGAGGACAGCGGGTCCGCGGACGACGACGACGACGAAGAGATGAGTGACGATGATTGGTGAGTGGCTGCCGGCTCCGCTCCGGCACCGGCTGAGCACAGAAAGCCCCCCGCGTTCGTGTGTCGGATATAAAGACAGTGTGCCCCGGGGACTCGGCGTTCCTACGGGCCTAATGGGGTCTCTCCGAGGGATAGTTCGGCGTGCGCCCGGGTTCCCCCCCTAGCAAAACGAAAACAAGATCAAGAACCCAAGGAGCA